AAAATTTTCTTAAGTTTTATTTTTTTATAATACTTGTATCGGGGGCTCTTAATCTCTTGTCACAATCCATACATTCCTCCAGTGTGTCAAGCACGTTCGCACATTTGCCGCCAACATCATTTTCAAAGCATTCTCTTCCCCCTTGAGCCCCTGATATCCACTCCCCAATTCTTCACCCTTCCTCCCCCGCCTGGTGGTTTAGTCTTAATGAAGCTGCCCACGTGGAGGTGATTTGTACTCAGGGCTGAGTAATCAAGTAAGTTGCTATTACTTGTGTTTATAATGCCACCATTTCTGACACCATGCTCTGTGTTAAAGCATTGTCCTGTAAGTGAAGGGTCTTTTAACATCAGAAATCCCACTTAATAGTACAGCAGTTTCTTCACACCTTAGGATGATGTAGCTTTTCAGGGTGAGAAGTAAGACCTACCTGAGAGTGGAGGTGTTGGGGTGGGAGATAAGGTGATCTGCTGTTGAAAGAAAAGCTGCTGTGCCTTCAGGTGTCTCCTGTAAAAGGTGGTTGATAAATGGCTGCTGACTGTAAAATTACTTGCCCTCATCCTCATTTCATGGCATATACTCTGGGTGGCCTTGGTCTGGTCATTTTTGTCAAGCCCTGTTGTTCCCTCACTGAGGGATTGGAATCTCAGCCTGGTTGTGATCTAATTGTCCGTAAGAAGAGTGATGACAGTGAAAGAGACATGGAAACCATCCATCTGTTGGACTACAAAACAATCTCCACAACCCGAGACCAAGAGAACTAGATGGTGCCCAGCGCCCACTACCAACCGCCCCGGAAAGGATCGTGTAGAACAGTGGTTCTCAACCTTCCTCATGCTGCACCCTTTAATACAGTTCCTCATGTGGTGGTGACCCCCCAAACCATACAGTTATTTTCATTGCTACTTCATAACTAAATTTTGCTACTGTTATGAATTGGACAACCCCTGTTAAAGGGTCATTGGACCCCCAAAGGGCTTGAGACCGACCCACAGGTTGAGAACCACTGTATTAGAAGGTTCTGGGAAGAGTGAAGGATGATTTGGAACAAAACTCAAAATCCTGAAGGAAACCAGGCTGATTGGTCAGACAGACTGGTAGAACTGAGACTATCGTCTTTGCTGACTCTTGCGGTCTGGAAGGGAACTGCCCCACCCTCAGCTCCTCCCTGTAGCTCAAGTATCAGCCAAACTGGGCAGGTCTGTAAGGGGAACAGTAAGTAACACGACTGATATGTGCCCACCTTAGGATAATTGACCATTGGAATCCCAGGGGCAGCATTTACCCAAGGACAAAGTTCAGAAGGCTTGGGAAAGAAGAAATGGAGGCAGAGAGAAAGGGAGGTGGGTTGATGGTATGCTGAGGGGGTTACAGTGAAGGAGATGTAACAATGTGTATGAATTGTTGAAGATGAACAGATGAACTGCTCTGTAAAGCTTCAAACAGGTAACAATAAAAAGTTCTTCAAGAGTTGTCCTTGATTCTAAACTCATTGATTTCGAGCTGTGCCAGCAGTCTGAAAGCCCTTAAGGACAGACACAGTCTGCCGCACTTTGTGTGCACCCTGACTCAAAGGCACTTGGGCTCAGAAACACTAACTGGAGGAGGAAGTGTTGGTGTTTTACTTTAGGAGAAAATAAGGATGTTATTTTGAAGTGATCATATGCTAAATTTACATCTCTGATTTTTTTTTCCCTCCTCCCCTTCAGGGTCAAAGTCAGAGTGGGGGTCATGGTCCTGGAGGTGGCAAGAAGGATGACAAGGTAAGTCAAGAGCCAGATCCCAAAGGTTGATTCAGAAAGTTGGTTCACAATTTAATGAAGAGAATGGAATTCTTCCTAAAGTTCCTGAAGGCCCTGGTGTGTATGTGCTGAGGAGCCCGGTGGCACCGTGCTTACATGTCGGGCTGTGGTCTACAGGGTCCGCTGGGAACCACCAGGGGTCGTTCTGCCTGTCCTGCAGGGTGGCCATGAGTTGGCATCACCTCGCTGGCAGTGAGTTTGGTGCTGAGTTTTGTAGCCGTTGTGGTGTAAATTGCAGGAGATAGCCTCAGGCTCAGCTGAGGAGTCATTTGGGATTTGTGGTTTTAATACAAATGATCCCTAATCATTTAACTAGCTGCTGTACAAGTGGAATGACCTTTTCACGTTATAGAAAAGAGGATTGACCTTGTTACATGGGTATTCGTTAATGAATTTTCAATGTGTGAAAGTAATCACATTGCAGAAGTGCCTCCAGATTTCCTGAGGGGTGAAGATTACCTCAAGTTCTCAACACTGAACTTGATTCTGACCTCTCCTTACCTAACTGCCATTTATGTGTATGAGAAATAGGATTGGTTGTATTCTTTAGAGGGAGGAGAAAGGAAGCACCGGTAGTTTGATAACATCCTAAAGGGAAGGAAAATGTATCTCTTGGAAATGATGGTGATACAGAAGTACATTGGTGTTTTAATACGGTTTCTGCCTGGGTTTTGTTCTGGGTTGATTTTTTCACTTCTGTTCTAAACACTTAAGGACAAGAAAAAGAAATATGAGCCTCCTGTCCCAACCAGAGTGGGGAAAAAGAAGAAGAAAACAAAGGGACCAGATGCTGCCAGCAAACTGCCCCTGGGTAATGGCATGGCTCCTCCTCCCTGTCTCTCCACGTGGCTGAGAGGGCTGCAGGGGACATGGGGTGCTCAGGTGCTAGCTTTGAGCCAGGAGCTCCATCCGAACTGTAACCCTTCTAGATTGGCATAAAAGCTATAGTTGGGCTTAAAATACTTTGTTTTCTTTAAATAGCCAGCTCCTCGGGTGTATTAAAAGTAGTCTTACATCATAAAGCCTAGTTTAAACTTGATTAATTCAGAAACACTTACTCCGTTGAATGGAATGCCCGGCACTGAAATTCAGGTCCTGGGAGCCTAAACGTCCTTGTTTGGGTGGCTTCCTGTTGAAAGTGAGTAAAAGTCAAGCCAGGTGGTCTGAGCCAGACCGCCTCTCCATTCCCACTCCTCCCAGCCTCCCTTGCTCATTGGTCACACTGTACTGCTTTGTCGTCCCCAAATACTCTTCCCTGAAGCAGACTCTTTGCCCTTGCACGTGCTTCTGCTGAAAACGTTCTCCCCGTAACCTTCCCAGAACTACGTGCTTCTCATCCCTCATGCTTAGCTCAGAGTCTCACCCCTACCCCACTTAAAATAGCCCCTTCGTCCTTAGAAGAAATAAACTGGGATTTAAATTATTGCTCAGTTAAAAAGGAAGGGAATTGGTATGCTTTGCTACGTATATTTTCACACACACACACACACACACACACACACACACACACACACGAGGGTAGTTGAATAGTAAAGACCTGCCACTCACCTGTGGTGAATCAGCGATGTATTCATAGAGAAATAGATCATTAGCCCAGAACAGAAGAAAATCCAGAACGAGACTCATTCATTGTACATGGATGTTTAATATTTTAAAAATCACATTTCAGTTCTGTGAAAAGAGGATGGATTCTCTGCTATAAATTGCTGGCATTTTTTACTTTCTGTGGAGAGAAAATTAAATTACACCCCCTTGTCCCTTGCCAGGTGGACTGCAGGCATATCTGTGACATTAAGTAAATAAATGAAAACATACAAATGTGTTTGTTTATTTAACTTGGGGAGGAGAAACTTTTCAAATTAAGTTAGGAAACACAGAGCCCAAAAAGAAGAGCTGGGCAGATGTATGTAGAACCCCTGGGGGCACAGACTTCAAAACAAAGTAGAAGGAGCAGTGTTAAGCCACACGTGTGACAAAGAGGGTTGATAGCCTCTCACTGAACCAGTGCATGTGTAGACAGCCTGCGTGCAGTGGCGTGTACTGACCGGGCAGTGTATGTAGCCGGTGTACATCCCCGTGGGGAAAAGAAAGCCACTGACTTTGTTACCTTTAAACAGGTAGATAGTTCAGCTGGTACACCCATTTTGGCCATAACCCCCTTCATTCCATTTCCACACCGGCTTAATCAGGGTTACAAAACTGAATTTTTCAGCCTACCCAGCTAATGTGAGTTAAGATTTCAATGCTTTTTGATTAAAGACGATTGGCTTAAGTGGTACAGTCAAAGAGCACGTTTTCGTTGACTCTGCAGTGACCCCTCACACGCAGTGCCGGCTAAAGTTGCTGAAGCTGGAGCGGATCAAAGACTACCTGCTCATGGAGGAAGAGTTCATCAGGAACCAGGAGCAGATGAAGCCCCTCGAAGAAAAGCAAGAGGCAAGTTGAGCGGCGGTGGCAGTGTGCTTCCCCAAACGGGAAAGTTCTGTGTAAAAGGCAGAGCTGTCGGCAGGTCAGCGAGCGAGCTTCAAGCAGCTGAGCCTGCCTGGATTTTAGGAAACCTCCTTGGCCTGGCAAAGGTGGTGAGCTGTCTGGAGTGCCACCCTCCTGGGTCTGACCTGCCTTTCTGTCTCGTACCTTCTTGGTAGGAGGAGAGGTCAAAGGTGGACGACCTGAGGGGGACCCCGATGTCGGTGGGGACTTTGGAAGAGATCATTGATGACAACCACGCCATCGTGTCGACGTCGGTGGGCTCGGAGCACTACGTCAGCATTCTGTCCTTCGTAGACAAGGACCTGCTGGAGCCGGGCTGCTCGGTCCTGCTCAACCACAAGGCGAGTCACAGGCATCAGCTGCCATCCCCCAGGGGTGCCGCCGCCGCCTCCCTGTCAGATCTGCCCCCTGCCCTGGAAGTCGATCGTGCACAGTGGGGAGTCACTCGTTCTGCTGTCGGCGCAGCGGGTGTGCCACCCAGGCCAGTGCTTGAGCTCAGTGTCCCCCCATCAGGTGCATGCGGTGATCGGGGTGCTGATGGATGACACCGACCCTCTGGTCACAGTGATGAAGGTGGAAAAGGCCCCCCAGGAGACCTATGCTGACATTGGGGGGCTGGACAACCAAATTCAGGAAATTAAGGTATGACTGGGAGCCAGCTTTGGTGTGCACTCTGGGCTTCTTACCGCTGCCCTGACCAGGGGCTTTTGGGAGTGACAGTCCTGTTGTGTGTGGTTCTTATCTCTTTGATTAGACCGGAAGCTGACTCAGCTCGCCAGTTGGGGTTCTTGGTTTTTGTTAACACTGTTGTGATCGTGTCTGCTGCGGCTGAGCCTAACACTTGCTGTATGTCACGTACTGTGAATGGTCTGTGTGGGGGTGTAATGTTCCTGAAGGGGTATCTGGAGACCTCCAGCTTTGTAAGGAAAGGCTGTGGGCCCCTCACAGGGTGGGGAGGGAGGTGGTCCCTGGAGATGGCTCGAGGCACTTTCATGTGTGAACACACCACACGTGACTCCCTCAGGACCCGTCGCAGCCCACTGAGACAAGTAAGGGGTAGCCCTCTGCTAAGTCAGAGACTCGTGTCCTCTGCTGGAGTAAGCAGTGCTGGGTATGGGAGCTGTTAAAGGAAGGCGCAGCTCCAGCATGGTCTCACTGCTAGGAGTCCGGCCCGCTGTCCCTGGAAAGGATGGTGGCGACCCGGCCTGTTAATGTTGCAGGTGATACGCTTTTAGTGGAAAACTGTTCCGTTTCACGCACCGTTTGCTTTCTGTAGGAGTCTGTGGAGCTTCCTCTTACTCATCCCGAGTACTATGAAGAGATGGGGATCAAGCCGCCTAAGGGGGTCATCCTCTACGGCCCCCCTGGCACAGGTATGCAATGCTCCCCTCCTTCCCGGGTCCTCAGCCCTTTGTGAGCAGCAGCAATGACTTGTACTTTGAGGAACCTCCGTTCAAACGGGGGCTCCTCTTGCTGTGCATCGGACTCACCTTTAAAAGTGCAGGGCACTCTATGATGCTCTCCTTCCCAACATGATCACTGTAGACAAAGCGGGTGCATAAGCAAATGTGGTGAAGAAAGCTGATGGTGCCCGGTTATCAAAAAGTATACCGTCTGGAGTCTTAAAGGCTTAGGCTTGAAGCTAAACAAGCAGCCATCTAGTTGAGAAGCAACAAAGCCCACATGGAAGAAGCACACCAGCCTGTGTGATCATGAGTTGACGGGATCAGGTATTAAGCACATCCAACCTAACGTGAATGGGGGTGGTGGGGGTGGGGTGAGCATGGAATGGAGACCCAATGCCCATCTATAGACAATTGGACATCCCCTCACAAAGGAGTCACAGGGAAGAGATGAGCCAGTCGGTGCAGTATAGCACTGATAAAACACACAACCTTCCTCTAGTTCATTGGTGCTTCCGTACCCCCACTATCATGACGGCAATTTTACCTTACAAATCAGATTAGACCAGAGCATGCACACTGCTACAGATAAGATCCCACAACAAAGGGAATCCAGGATAGATAAACCCCTCTGGGCCAACAATGAGACTAGAGATATCAGGAGGATTAGGGGAGGGGGAGGGGAGAAAGGGGGAATCGATCACAAGGATCAACCTAGAACCCCTCTTGGGGATGAACAATGGGAACAGGATGATGTAAGATATGAAGATAATCTTCTATGACTTAGCAAGGGTTTGTGTGGGTGGGGGGAGGGCGAAGAAATGGGGAGCTGATCAGGCTCAAGTGGGAAGAGAATGCTTTGAAAATGATGGCGGTGGCATATGTGCAAATGTGGTTGACACAGTGGATGAATGTGTGGATTGTGATAGGAGATGCCAAACTGGGTTCACCGTGCGGTAGAGGCCTAAGTTGTCTAGTCCAGGGCTTAGCAGGTCATGGCTCTGTAGACCCAAAGAGCATGGTCATTTGATGGCATCTCAGGATCTGCACTAAGGAGATTTCCCAGGTTTGAGGGCCTGGAAGGAAACCCTGCCCAGGTCCAGGAGCTAGACGGGAGCTGTGTTCTGACAGGTCAGACGGTGTGCGGAAAGTCGGGGCTGGAGCTGACAGGCACAGAATGAGCCTTGGCCTGTGAGCCTGCAGGGATGCAGCCTCTTCCTGGATCTTAGGTCCTCTTGTCTCTTCTGTCCATCGTCCTTGGTTGGTGTTCTCAGAGAACCTGCTGTCTACTCGACCTCTGCGCCCGCCATACCATACCACCTTGCCAGCCAGTGGCAACATCCACTCCACATCTGGGTCCAGAGCTTCACTTCCCATCCTCCATCCCACCTCCATGGAGTCTTCTGTGTCACTTAACCAGCCTGCTGTGTCCTGAGGCTGAGACCCAGCCCATGGCTCCTGTCCTCACTCACTGCCCACAAGGCCTAGTGCTTCCAGTCTAAAATAGCTAAGTTGGTGCATTTTGCTGGTGTGGTGTTCACCTGGAGGAACAGGCAGGGTCAAGAGTAGGACGAGGACAGTTGTTTGTGATCTCCCAGATCAGTGAGCGGGGCACTTGAAGGGGCCCACTTCAAAGTCCCTCGGGCCCTGAGCAGCTCGCCACCTGCGCCTGCAACAGTGAGCCCACCCCGGCACATGCTCGCCCACGCTGCCCGCGGCATACTGCTCCAGTGGCACTTCCTGTGTCTCAGGTCAAAGCTACTAGTCCTTCCCGGCCGTGTGTGTGTTCGTCATGAAGTTTCACGGGCTCGGTGCTGGGGTTCCACCCTGCGCTGGCTGCATTCACAGAAGAGGCAGGACAGGACACTTGTGTTCTGAAGGAACCGAGAAAGGGGAAGCTTGACTGGTCTTGGCTTGGTACCAAGCAGGTCTCCTCGCTAATTGTAGCCTGCAGATTCTTTGGTGAAACGGCATGCTGTGAAATTCTGTGAAAAACCTTTCCTGACATCACCATGGTGGGCTCAGGAAGCTACGACCCGAGTAACTAAACCTGGGACTTCCTAGGTGTCTCTGAACTTCCATCTGTGTCTTCTCTCGAGAGCAGCGTCCCAGGACACGGTGCCTGCCACATCGGGTGACCTGCCTGCTTTAGGGGCCGTGAGTGGTAGAGGTGATGAAGTTACAAAGCATTTGAAGTGTCTAATCTTTTGTTTTCATCTACAACAGGTAAAACCTTACTAGCCAAAGCAGTTGCAAACCAAACCTCGGCCACGTTCTTGCGAGTGGTGGGCTCAGAGCTCATTCAGAAGTACCTGGGCGACGGGCCCAAGCTCGTGCGGGAGCTCTTCCGAGTTGCCGAGGAGCACGCTCCGTCCATCGTCTTCATCGACGAGATCGACGCCATCGGGACAAAGAGGTAGCCCTTCTCCGCCACCTCCGAGTCACTTGAGGGTGACGGCACGCTCTTCTCCGGAGCGATCGGTCGCTGACCACTCACTGTCCTGCTCCGTGTCCTGCACGGGCCTGTGGCTCTCCGTGGGCCTGCTCTGTGGCCTGGTTAGTAACCATACTTGAGCCCCTGCTCTGAGCCAGCCAGCCACCGTTAGGTTTGGTGAGCACTGGGGGGCTCACAAAGCTCACGATCAGGTTGGGGACTAGGCATAAGCATGAGACACATTGCGTGGCACTGTAACTCGGCACGTGGAGCCAGACGCCAGGAGGGAGTGGTGCTTGGGCTGAGCTGTGGATAGGAAGAAACTTGTGAGAATGGAGGTATTCGCTGCCATCCCCTTGAACCTGAGGCCAATTCAGTCTGTATTCCTTCTCTTCTCTTTCAAAGATACGACTCCAATTCGGGCGGCGAGAGAGAGATCCAGCGGACGATGCTGGAGCTCCTGAACCAGCTGGACGGGTTTGATTCCAGGGGCGACGTGAAAGTGATCATGGCCACCAACCGGATAGAAACCTTAGACCCAGCCCTTATCCGGCCAGGTGAGGTGTGCGTCCGTGTGCGTGAGGGGCTGTAAGGACGAGGGAGACACTGCCCTGGAGCTTCTGCTCAGGTACAAAAACGGGCTGTTTAGTGAACCGAGGAAGTGACATGCTCTGCAACATGGCCCTTTAAACTCCACCCTTCTGTCTTCGCTTTTTCTTTACTGTAATGAATGTTCCCTTTTCAGAAGGAAGAATTTGCTTTTTTCTGAAGTAATTCCTGGGACGATGGTGGTAGACACCATCAAGTAGGCTTTGCTGGACAGCAGGGCCTCGTACAGCAGACGGACCGTGCCAGGTTCTGGGCCCTCCGCACAGCTCTGTGTTGGAGCCAGTGAGTCGGTCTGTCTCGTGGAGGGCCTTTCTCGTTCTCACTGACCCTCTGTGTCCCCGAGCCCGATGCCCTCTCCAGGGCCTGTTTCTCCTGACAGCGGGCCCACGGCCGGCTGGGAGAAAGGGTGCTCCAGCCTCCCTTTGAGGGAGCTTCTGGTGCTGTTTCTTCCCGCACAGTGACATAACATCTTCGGTGGTTCTTAGGACCACCTGTGTCCACTCTTGTATAACATGTTCACCGAGATGCGTGTGTTTTCCCACGAATGTATGCTGTCGGGCACTGGTCTTTTCGTTTATTTCTGGAACTAACAAAGTTGTTTCCTTTAAGTGGGGTGAATTTTAAATGTAGAAATTTATAAACTATAAAAAGAAATACTTGCTTTAAAAATCTTCAGCCTCATTCTAATAGATGTTTTTGTCTGGCTGACGGCCCGTATGAGGAGGAGGAGGAGGAGGAGTGGGCTGGTAGCTACGCTGACTGAGCCCTCCCCCCTGCAGGCCGCATTGACCGGAAGATTGAGTTCCCCCTGCCTGATGAGAAGACCAAGAAGCGCATCTTTCAGATTCACACAAGCCGGATGACGCTGGCCGAGGACGTCACCTTGGACGACCTGATCATGGCTAAAGACGACCTCTCTGGCGCTGACATCAAGGTGGGAACCACTCAGCCCACCAGCCAGGAGCGGCTGGACGTGCACCCCAGGGGGGTCCGGTTGGTGTGGGGTATGGGTCAGGCAACAGGGATGGCTGCTGTGGGTTAGCGGACGCCCAAGTGCTGGATCCACTTGTTAGTTTAATCACTGAGGTGAGGGAGGGGTCGTTTCGTGACTTGGCATGTGTCCCCAAGTCACCCGGAGCTACAAGTGTCTGGGCCTTGCTGGCTCCTCTGCTGGGCTGGGGGGGACGTCATGTGAGGGCTTAGATCCCTCAGCATTCCTCCCCGTGAGTGCCCAGCCGGCCGGAGAGGCTGCTCTTGGTTTGTCACTCTCCTCCACGCTGAGGACCAGCCTTCCCGGGCGGCCCGTGGCTGTGGTGAAGCCAGGCGGCATTCCGTCCGAAGGCCCTGGTGACTCGCTGTGAAGCGGACTCCCAGGACTCGGAGGCGGTTCTTCCCGGTTCTGGATGCTGAGGACATGAGCCCAGGACAGGCCGGTGTGCTCACACAGCAGGGATGAGCGGTGGAAGCCGTGCTTCTCTTAGGGAGCAAAGACGGTTCCGGCAGGACTGCAAAGGAGTAGTGCCCCACTCAAAGAGGGCGGCCTGCCGGCCAAACCATTTTGAATGTCATTCTAATCAGGTTCTCGTGCCAGGCTTCAACGTGTAATTTTTCTCTAGTTTTCTGCTCACCAAAATCTTAAAAATTTAGATCTGTTCCCATTTCACCGTCAGCTGTGACTAAGCTGGTTCAAACTGGTTGGAAGCCCAGTTAGACCCACACCCAAATGTACTCCTGCCCACCCCACCCTACCACTCTGTTCTCCCCAGTCAATTGAGGCCATTATTTTAATGAAGATCAGCAGTCAAAAATTTTAATGCCAGGATCAGGCATGTGTTTCTAATCACGTCTTATGAGTTGTTTCCCTTTGGACAATTATTAGAACAATAGATATATTAGAAGACATGCAAGAAGGCTTCAAAAGTTAATGAAAAATTCTGTTACTTTCAATTCCATTTTTTCTCACTCTTTGAGGCATGCTTGTGCCATACTGAACTCAGACCGTGTAATGAGAACGCGTGTCCTCACGACCGGAGGGAGATGAGCTCCGTGCACACGCTGTGTTCCCTTTAACTTAAGTCTGTGGTTTCCTGGGACTGTTAGTCCCTTTCCTGGAAGTGAGCCCAAACCCACCTGAGCAGGATTCCGGCCGACCTTTCTCTACCGTCATTACTCCCAGTTCCAACTCCACACAACACAGCTCGCTGCCCCCGAGTTGACCCCACAGGACAAGGTAGAACTGCCCCTGTCAGTTCCCAATACTGTAGCTCTGTGGGAGTGAAAGCAGCTGGTGGTTTCGAAACGCTGACCTTGCAGTTAACGGCCTAACCACTACGCCGCCAGGGCTCCTGCTCTCAGTGTGAGCCACCCCCAATCTTCCCGGAGGCTTTGAGGTTTGGTTTCGTCCAGTGCTTCAGACCTTACTTCACGGCCGCGCTCGGGCTGCTTGCTGGCCTTTCTGAACCCGCTGCTCTCTCCTTGCAGGCTATCTGCACCGAAGCAGGCCTCATGGCTCTGCGGGAGCGCAGGATGAAGGTCACAAACGAAGACTTCAAGAAGTCCAAGGAAAACGTGCTCTATAAGAAACAAGAAGGCACCCCCGAGGGGCTCTATCTCTGAGGGAGTCCCCCACACAGGGCGTTGAAGACGTGGTGGGGAGTTTTCCCGGCCCCTCCAAGAATGGGGTGGAGATGGGCTGACCAGTGGGTCCATATTCCATCGCTTCCTTAGTGAAACATTCTCCCTCGTTTGTATGTGTGTGTGTTTGTGTGTGTGTGTGTGGCAGTCAGGAGACTCGGTGGGCTGGGCAGCCCTGTCCCCAATAAAATCACTCTTTCCAGACCTGCTGTCTGCTGCTGATTCACATCCGCTGCTCAGCAGCCAGCACGTTGGGCACCTGGTGCCCAGGAGCGAGGAGTCAGCCTCCAGTCCCTGTGCCCCTGCAGCATCCCGCAGAGCTGCGGTAGAGTTGTCACTGGGGTGATTATTGAGAATGACCCCAACCACCCACAGCTGTTAATGTTTGAGTAATCATGGCACTGTCTCCTCTGGGTTTGGGGCCCTTTGAGCCCTCAGCATCCTGGGGCGGGAGAGAAGTGTTCCTGTTCCCCGGAGACTTGGCTTCTTGAAGAAACCACACACGGTCCGGGCAGAGGAGAGGCCAGAGCAGCCCTATCCATCCTCCCTCCTCCTCCATCCTGCACGCACAGCTCTGAGCAATGCACTGGTCTGACAGCACCCAGGAGCACAGGCTGGGTGTGCTCGGCTGCTGCCATAGCCGGTGGACACCAGACCACCAGAAGCCCACCAAAGTCAAGGTGGCCAGACTGCTCCTTCCTGGGGGAGACGCCCTCTTGTTCCCTCAGGCTGTTGGCAGGACTCAAGTTTCCACAGCTGTGGACCCCTCAACCCTCCATTTTGAGCCAGCAAGAGCGGGTGAGATTCCACCAGGCCTCACCCTGGCTTTCCTCTACTTTTAAGCCGCCCGCCCTCACCCCACCCCCGGTGCAGGCTACTTCTTGTCTGGCTGCAGAGTGGTTCCAGGGATGTGGTGGGGCATCTTTGGGGTGCTGCATGGGGCAGCTCAACCCAGGCTGAAGACACTCCTCGGGAGGGGTGGACAACCCCGGGTGGGGGTGTCAAGAGCCCAAGCATGTGAAGGGTGGGCTAGCAGTGTACAGGGTCAGAGGACATGGTGTGGGAGGCCAATGGCACTGGGTATTGGAGCCCATGGGGGGCGGGGGGAGGGGGGTGTCCATGGGGTTTCCATAGTGGCTGCAACACTGGGTGCAAACAGCATGGGTGGGGACAGAACAGGACCAGGCAGTGAGGCATTGTGTCGTTCCCAACACCTTGGGAAAGCAGTCGCAGGACAGAGTCGGAGACAGGGTGGGTGCACAGTTGAGGAACCGGTGTCTTGGGCACATCTGAGTTGGGGTGGCTACCGTTCTCCACCTTTCTCTGAGGGCCTCTGGAGAGCTCAGCTGCCGCGGGGCGGGGCTCGCTAAGCCCGCACTCCCACTCGGCAGGTCTGTGGTTAGACTTTATTCTGGTGAAACAGAAAATGTACCGACCGTTCTCACATGTGCAGTGCAGTGGCAAGTCACAGCTGTTCCCAGATGGCTTCACCACCCTTCACCCCAACTGCACCTCGAGCAGTACACCCACTGCCAGCCAGTGGGTTCCCACTGCCACTGAGCCCAGAGGACACACAACTGCCCCAAACAGCTTCTGAGATGGTAAAATCTTCCTTTAGCTCTTTCTATGTAGAGTGGCTGCTGCGGTTGAATCATGAATCTTTGAATTCTCCAACAAGCATTTGGCCACTACGTCACCCACCGGTACTCCTAGCACTTAAGCACCAACTACTCCCCACTCAGTGACCCCAGGTAACCTCTAATCACCTTGACTGCACTGGCTCTCCTGAGCAGCTCATTGAGGTGAGCCATTGCAGCATGATCGGTCCTGTGTTACCTCAGCTGTTTTCAAGGTTTGTTCACTTCACAGTCAAATAGCAGAATTCCAATCAAAAGTTTTCCATACAAGGATCTACATATAACCCCCTCCCTGGGGGCCAGACAGTGGTAAAGGGGGTGAAGGGAGACGTTGGACAGTGTAAGATTTGACAAAATAATCTATAAATTATCAAGGGTTCATTGGGGGAAGGGGAAAATGAGCTGATACCAAGGGCTCAAGTAGAAAGCAAATGTTTTGAGAATGACGGCAACAAATGTACAAATGTGCTTGACATGATGGATGGATAGTGATAAGAATTGTACCAGCCCCCAATAAAATAATTTTTTTTAAAGTTTTTCAACACCGATTTTTTAAAAAACTCGAATGAGTTCACATCCTTTTTGAATTTTGGAGTAAAAGTGAGATTTGTCTGGTATTTTAAGCACTGGGTTGCTAACCACAGGGCCAGCAGTTCAAAACCACCAGAGCCGCTCCATGGCAGAAAGATGATTTCTGCTCCTATGAAGACAGCATCTCAGATCCCACCCTGCTGGGTCACGGAGTATCAGGATCAACTCGATGGCAGCACGAGATGATGGCAAGGGTTACACGGGAGCCCTCAGATTTAAGCAGCTCTGTACTGTTTGACGTCCTCCACACGGACAGGAGGAAAACCACCCAACTGAATGCCCAGGCAGACTGGAGGGGCCTGCTGCCTACTTTCTACAACCATCACCTGAGAGCCGAGTGGGGTCCAAGCCCCAAACTCACCTACTTGCTCTTGGAATGTAGCCGGTCTCCCGGTAAGTGAGCCGGGTGGTGCCATCTCGCCCAGTGTGCGCCCTGCCTGGGCATGGGAACCCAACGCCAGCTCCTTCCTGTGCTCCCCAGCCCCAGGTCGTGCCTGTCACCTGCCACACGCAGGATGAGCAGAGGCAGAACGCTAGGCCCCAGTGCCCGTGATGGGAGACGTGTCATGGCTCTTTCTTTCCTCAGAGCTGCTGAGGTGCACGTGCCACACGGAGTGGGCACCCTGGTTTGTGCACGTGTGGTCAGTAGAGACGGCGCCGAGAAAGACATGGATGGACACAGTCACCGCCAACAGTGGGCTCAGGCACAGGGACAACAGGACCGCTCAGGACTGGGTACTCTCTGTAGTGCGGAGGGTCACTGGTCAGAGCCAGCGCGATGACACCTAGTAACGTTAAACACTGCCACTTCAGTCCCCGCGACCCTGCTTGTCACCGGGGTTCGTTTGAGATTCTCCCAGCGCCCTAAGCAGCTCACTGTCTTTGGCTGAACGGTGGTCCATTGTAGGGTAATTTGTGTCCTGTTTTTCGGCTGACGGACACTTGGGTTCTTTCCGCCTCGTAGCTATTGAGAACGAGGTCCAAACTGTTTTCCTGGTCCCCGTTCTCTGGGTTCATACCTGGGAGAGAACTGCAGGTGCTGCATTCCTGACAGGGTCTGAGGTGATGCTGTTGGCCCAGAGGCAGGCATCCTGAGCAGAAGCGCCCAGGACACAAGTGCTACCAGGGACACAGGTTTCCGTGACTGCTGGTAGAGCTGTACCCTAACTGCCGTGGGAAGATCAGTGTCGCCCGACCTCCCAGCCCAAACTGGCCTGACCTTCAAATCGCAACTACAAGAGCCCAAAGGACTTGGTGAGGCCACCAGAGGCCAGGTGAGGGGGACATGTGTACCAGGGTGGGGTTGGTGTTGACTGGGCAGAGTAAGAGCAGAATGACCAAGATGCACACTTCTCAACCCACAAAGGTTTAATTACCACTTGGTTCAACTCTTCCTCTGTACTTAGATACATATATAATATGTAAAACACCAGGTTTTGTGTCATTTAAACATCTACCAACGTGAAGATGTGGGAGGCCGAGAGCTCAGACACAAACAAGAAAGGTGCTGAGATAGGGCGCTCGGCGCCCTGACGTCCGCCAACTTGCCCTGTTCGCCGGGCTCTAGTCTTCCAGCAGGAGCTCCAGCTCCTCCAGGGGCAGGCGCACCCGCAGCTCCTTCTCAGTCATCAGGTCCAGGATCTCTTGCATCTCATCCGGGAAGTACTCTAGGGCATCCATGTACAGCACCTACAGCAGGGAAGGGACACCGACAGTTAGCCAGCCACTTCCTGGGTGTGGGGAGAGCTCAGCAAACAAGTAGCAGCAGGTTCCCAGGGAGCACGTGGGCCAGCTCCAGGAGAGCTGCCAAGGGAGAGGCAGTGAGGGAAACTGCAGGCAGATGTCATGGTCACCGGCATGCTTCTGAGCTGCTCTGACCCGAGGCCCCCACTCAGAATCAGGGCTGAACTTTGGGCAGATCTTGGTAAACCAGCCAGCACTCCAGCTCCATCACAACAGACATGAAAACACATGGGGCTCAACCACCACAGGACAGTGTCACTATAAACAAGGCCCTGGCCACTCAGACGTCACAGGGCCAGCCAGGCAGGCGGGGGCCAAGCTGAGCCTGAAAGAAGGTCCCTGGGAACCAGAAGACACCTCTGCTTTGAAAAACATACCTTTGCCCAGGGGCAGTTCTGGAGTGCTTTGTAGAACACACCTTTGCTTCTCTCTCTATTTCCCAGGGAAACCTGAGGCACGGACAAATCATAAAAGTGGTTACTGAAAGGAGAGAAAAACCCTCCTGGACCAACCAAGGAGCCCTGGTGGTGCAGTGGTTACACATTGTGCTGCGAACTGCAAGGTCAGCAGTTCAAACCCACCAGCCCATCCTCGTGAGAAAAATGGGGCTTTCTACTCCCAAAATGTTAGCCTCGGAAAACCTGCAGCAGCAGTTCTACCCTGTCGCTATGAGTCAGCATCGACTCGATGGCAGTGAGGAGGGGTGAGGTACCAACCAAGCCTGCAGGTGGCCCTCCAACTGGCGGGCAGCCTGCCACCACCAGGCCTGTGAGGCCTGTCCCCAGGTGCCTTGGAGGCCATGGCCTGGCAGGGGGTGATAAATCAGTTTCCCCTCCTCGTGGCCGCAGAGCACTGACCTTGAACACCCCTCTACAGTCAGACTTTGCTCTGCTCCAGCACTGGGAGCCCAGCATTAGCAAGAGCTGGGACCAAGCCTGGGACAGGAGTCTGGTGACTTTACACAAAGGAAGGTTGCTGAAAACAGCCTTTCCAAGAACTGATAACCAGTCCCGTATTCAAAGCAGAGCTTCCCATCAGACACTAGTCCCAGTCCCCTTCCTCAGCAGGTTGTCTGTGCGTGGGGGCCACTCCTGGCTCTCCCCTCTCGGCCCACCGGGGAAGCAGCAGCAGCATGTGGCCCCCTCTGCCAGGGGTGGGGCTGCTGCTCGGCCTCCAGGACAGCACAGCTCTCTGCAGGGTGGCACCCTTGGGCAGGGGTGCCGAGAGCAGCACCGGCGCTCCTCCATCAGGTTCCCCTCCCCACCTCCCAGGACAGCCGGCCTGGGTGGCAGGAGCTCCAGTCGACGGCTCAGGTCTCCCCCCAAGAGAACACCAAGGCTCTGCAGTCTGTCCAGGTGGGTCAGTCCCATATGTCGTTGCCTGCCCACTCCCCCACCCCACCCCCCACGCCTCGTTCGCAGGCAGCACTGTGTCCTCCTCTAACACCGACTACACGTGACCTCTGTTCCTGCGGCCACGGAGGGGAATAGGAAACTACCACCTCCCACCCTGCCCTCCTGGTGGTCCTGGCAACCCGCTGGCCCTGCTCTCCCAGCAAGCAAGGCGGAAGCAGAGCTGTGGGCCACTATGACACCCACGGATTGATTTTCTTACCAAAAAATGCAAGTACATCCTCCACAGCAGGGGGCACTGTCTGCCCCGGTCAGTCTGGATCGCGTGCTCGAATAGGGCCTGGATGCGGTTGGTTAAGCCAATCTCGGGGATCGTGGTATGTATTTCTCCACCATCCACCCTGCCAAGAAGAGGCCCCTTTCACTCATCACGGTGGGGGAGGAGGGGGCTGCGCACTGACAACACAGAGCAAATGCCAGTGCAGCACATGCCAGCAACCCCTGGGATAGAGCAAGTTGGAGAGCGGGGCTGCCCCGTCACCATAACCATGGTGTAGAACAGCTGCTGTTGGCTCATTTCTGACCCCGTGCGTGTTGGAAGAGAGCTGAGCTGGAGGTACCTTGGCCCTTTCTCTTGATGCGTCTGGGGGTGGACTTAAACGGCCCACGTTGCCGTGAGCAGCTGCGTGCATAAACTGGCTGTGCTATTCAGCAACTCCCAGAGTCGGAGATGATGGCAAATTACAGCATATGTGAAGCAGAGACGCGCCATTAAAGGCAGGGTCCCAATGAAATAAACGGAGACAGTCAACGGAAAACCTCTTGAGAGGTAGGCTTGCTAGGTGCAAGCAGGTGGGGTGAAGCAGCAGGTTCTGGAAGGGATGGTGTGTAAGCTAATGTGTTCCCAAGACCCTCTTCCCACAGGGCATCAGAGGCAGCCATCTGAGACACAGCACAGCTGTTACTCCTACCGGTGAATGTCAGTGATCACCCTCTGCTTAGCACCCCTCAGAACCACCCGGGGTGGCTTCTCCAATCGCCCCTACTTACCCAGGAGACACTAAGGCACAGGGGAAGCCCGCCCACCCACCCACCCACTGGACAGTGGAAGCGCTGGGATGGAATCCAGAGCCTGTGCCCTTGGCCTGCATCTTCCACAAGCGCTCCCCAGGGGTTCTGCCACCATGCTCTGTGACCAGGGCTCCCAGAGGCCTGCCCTAGGAAAACGGGAGTCTTTCCCGGCTCCGTGAGGAGCTCCTCCGCTTTCAGGAGGCTATTCTGACCCCAGGCACCCGCCCACCCGAGCAGAAAACGAGCCTCGCGGCACTCGGGAACACACAAGACACACAGGCTACCTCTGAACGGTCTCCACCCGTTTCTTCCTCGCTTTCTCTGTCTCGATCGCAAACAGCCAAGGCTCCAGGGATTCAGTGGACCTAGTGATGGCATCAAAGAACCTCCTGGTCTTGCTGGCACTGTGAGACCTGCTCTGCGTCTGGACGTACGCCCTCCACAGGGCCTGATTGCCCGGGTACAGCCTCAGTGACTCAGTGAGCGCCTCCCGCAGCGGGGCCAGCGGGTGCACGCTGACCCTCAGGTGGAACTGCAGCAGGCTCGTGTGCAGCAGTGTGACGGCTTCCAGCTCGCCTGCCCACTTCTGCGGCTGCCCGGCGGACCCCGCTCCAGAGCCTTCAGACACTGCCGAGCCCTTCAGCTGCGCCCACACCTGCTCATGAACGCACCCCGCAGCCTCAATGCCCACGGTCAAGTACTGGAAGAGCATGAAGCACTTGGCCAAGCTGACCAGGCGGCTGGGGCGGCAGGCGGGACCTGGCTCTGAGCCGCAGCTCTCCTCCAAGGCGTCCTGCAGCGCATGCTCATAGGCCTTCCGGGCCTTCAGAATGTGCACGGGCAAGACGTGCCCGGGGTAGGGCTTGTACGGGGTGCTCTCGGCCAGCCCCGTCAGCACGTGGACCGCCCTGGACGCCGTGGCCTCCTGCGCGGCTGGCAGCAGCTCCACCTCAAGCTGCGCGTAGAGCAGGCTGAGCTCGCAGAGCTGCGCGTCCCGCAGGCCTCCAGCTCCCACCATGCTGAGCGCCGTGTCAAAGACCTTCCTGGCGTCCTCTGTGTTGCCCAGCAGCCACTCCAGGTGGGCGTAGTGCCGCCAGAGGCCCACGCTGCTGCTGCTCTCGGGCTCCCTGAGGAGGTTCTTGGCCAGCTTCCTGCAGTTCTTCCCCTGGGACCGCAGTTTCTTCTTGGCTTTCGTATGCAGACACCACACGACCTGCGGGTGAAGCAGAGAAGGGATGGCTGCAGGTGTGCTGCCGTCGTACAGCTGCCCACCTCACCGTCAGCCTCGGAGCCTGGCCGGCCCCTGCCCCAGCACACGTGTAAATGCTCAAGATCCGGCTTCCAGCAGGGCGGAGCGCATCCCCAACACTGTACCCACACCTCCCTGTGAGAGCCCCACAAATGAGGCTTCTCCATTCGTGGTGCCCTTCTCCAGAGATGTGGGTGCTGAATTGTACTAAAGACCAAACCAAAAACCAAGCTCACTGCCACGAGCCGGTGCTGACTCATGGCAACCCTACAGGACAGGGTGGCACTGCCCCTCTGTCGATGAGACTGAGACGCTTACAGGAGCAGAAAGCCCGTCTTTCTCGTCAGGAGCGACTAGTGGTTTTGAACTGCCGAGCGAGCAGACAGCCCAGCCGGGGAGACTGTAGTTTAAGCATCAGGACCACGGTGTGAAGATTCAGCACTGGCTTGTGGCCAGCAGAGGGCAGAGAAGCTGACCTCAGTCAAGATCAGCGGTTCTCAACCTGTGGGCCGAGACCCCTTTCGGGGTTGAACGACCCTTTCACAGGGATCGCCCGATTCATAACAGTAGCAAAATTAGTTATGAAGTAGCAACGAAAATAATTTTATGGCTGGGGAACTGTATTGAAGGGTCACGACATTAGGAAGGTTGAGAACCACTGGTCTAGATCTGGCTGGCAGTGGGAAACAGGGTTAAGTAAGCAGCTTATCTATTTTCATAAGCCCTCAAGTCCGCTAACCCTGCTCATTAGACTTAAACTTGGGTTTTCACACCAACTGCTCATACAGCCAGACCGCTGGAAAACAGTAAATAACACACCAACAGTTCGGGAGGCACCCAGGCAGGGCTCCCCCGCTGGGAGCACTGGACAGAGGCCGGACTGACCTTTGCAGTCTCGTGCTGCAGCCAGGCGGCGCAGAGGCGGGCCTTGTCCTTGCCGGAGAACAGCGGCAGCGCCAGGTGGAAGATGTTTCGGATGAACTCCTCACCTTCCCGGTCATGGCCCGGGGCCCCGCACGGAACACCAAACTGGTCCATGCGGCCCACACGGCTCACGCCGGAGAAGGTGGGACTGGCCCTGCTCAAGGGCTTCTCGCCACCGAGGCCCCCAGTGAAGATGCTGCTCTCGTCCAAGGCCATGTAGAGGCAGGAGGCCGGCGGGGTGAAGTCACAGGGCACACCCAGGAACTGCAGGAAGGCCGCCACCAGCTGGAACCGGAGCTCTGGGCTGGCGAGTCTGATCAGACACTGGCCGATGTCATCGAACAGCACCTGCAACCAAGACAAGATGCAGCAGCCACCCCTGGGGACCCCCGTGCCTCGTGAGGGAAGCAGTCAGAAAGCCTTCCAGGCTGTCCCCATGAGCCCGGTGCTCACCACCAACCCCATTCTCTACACAGATTTCAAACAGGCCGCAAGCAGGCTTTCTCAAGGAACCTGCAGGCCTTACACCCCACAGGGTCTTGTCTGGCAACCATGACCCTATGTAACTCAAGGGTCCCCTTGAGTGGGGCCAACTCGCTGGCAGCTAAGAACAATGACAAGTTTCCTGTCCAAGACACAACCTACCAGCAGCCTCACAGGTCTCCCTAGAGGGTGGAGGGGGACAGCCATGGGTCTGCAAGGCCTGGCACTGGACCCAGTCAGGCCGAGCTGTGGAGGGGGCGGGGGGGATGCCACAAGCTGGTACCCAGAGTATGTCAAGGGCAGGGCCTAGGGGGCTGGCAGACTGGTAGATGTCAGGGTCTGCTCACTCCTGACAGCACCCTGCATGGCCTGCTATAGTTCCTGTGGGTAAATTACAATGGAGCACAATTTTCATTTTAAGACGGAGATAGCCAGCTTTAGGATTTGGTGGTCTTTTTGAACAAAATAGCTCCAGGAAATGAAGTTGGCTGGGAAGATAGCTACACTGCAGCGGTGCTATGGGAACGACGGACTGTGCCAAAAGCAATCGTGAGAGCCTCTTCCCAAGCTGCGCGCATGGCAAGAGGCAAGGCCTGGAGGCGGGCACACAGGGCCAGGTGCTGCTCACCGGGGCAAAGCAGTCAACAGAGCAGAAACCCGGGCTCCACGATGGGAGCTCTCCTTCCAGGCAGTGCTGGAGGAGGAACCGAAAGCAGAGAAAGCTCGCTGAGACAGCCGAATTTCGAACCTCGACACTCAGCTTCCACAAGGTGAGCGTGGACCCTGCGACTCTGAAGCACCACTGGCAGGGCCTGCTCTTTTCTGGGCGCTCACTGGCAGCTGGTCAGAGGACCTGCTTTGTGGGCAGCCAGTGGCCTAAGTTTCCTGAGAAGCTGGCCCTGCTGGCCACCAGGAGTTGACCACCTTTCCCCCACCCCGCTCCCCTCACGGAGGCCTAGCCTCAGTCTCGCAGGCCCTGCAGGTTCCAGGCACCCCAGGCCCTTGACCTTCCCCCGTCCATGCTCAGGGAGCATGGACGTGTCAGCGCCAGAGTCACGCAGCAAACACAGGCCCGAGTGCCCACCGACAGGCTCCTACCTCCCAGGGAGGGCTGCCCAGCACACCCCAGCTGACACCTGCTCCCTCTGCCCCCAGGTGCGTCCCACCCAGAGCAGTGCACTGGCACTCTTTTAAAACAGGGTCGATTCCGGGCATCAAAGGAAAAAGGCTTCCTTTACGCTGGTTTGAATCCTCCAGAGCTGCTGCTCTGAAACTCAATGGACAGGAAAGGTGACGGTGGGGACGCCTAATTGGGGCACGAGTGCTGGCTCTCCTGCGGAGTGGCCACAAGGACAGAGACCACAGCAGTGAGGCAGCGATTCCTAGTCCCTCAGGCTCCGCATGAAGGACCTGAGTTATCTGAAGACGGCCATCTACAGCGAGGTGGCCGTGAGTGCCAGGGGCGACTGAGGAAGAGAAGGCCTGGCTGGTCCCTGACGGCCCCCCACCAGTAGTGGAGCCCAGTAGGAGGGGCATGCCCACGGACAGAAGCACATGAGCCCCTCCTCCACCACGCAAGACCTCAAGGCCCATGCCTCTTCCGGATGCCGAGTGTGCCATGGAGAGGTGAGGTGGCCGAGCCCCAGCAGCGCCCCTAGGGGGTGGGCTCACCTGCCTCTCGGGGTCCTCGCAGTCCTCCTCGGTCTGCTTCTTGGTCCTGTCGGGGCGCCAGGGGCGCCAGTGGCGGCGGTCTCGGGAGCGCTCTGCACGCAGCCAGATCTGAGCCCGAGGCAGGGTCCTGTCTCCTATCTCCTGCTCGTCCTCATCCGGCTCCTCATCCTCCTCATCTGGACGACAACAAAACTCCTGCTTCACCTGCTCAGCCAGCAGCCCTGCTGCCACCCAACCCACCTGCAGCTGACACCGAGCTGGACACCTGGAGGGCTGGGACAAGGGGGACCCAGGCCGACCCCTGAGGCTGCGAGGGGCGCCCATGTCACCAGCCAACCTCCCGGGGCAGGGGGCAGAGGAGCGACGAGGGTGCAGCAATGCCCATGGGCGTGGCAGAGTGCCCGCCCACCTGGCACTGCCCAGCAGGGCCTCCTGTGAGGGCCACATGTGCCCTCCAGCCCTGAAAGGCAACAGGGGAGACACTGGGCGCTTTATTGATTGTATCTTTAATCAGCTACCCTAAGCAGCCACGAGGGTCACCGACCAGCAGTTCTAGAAGACTGACTTCCACTGCATCACAGTACTGGCTTGGACAGATAATCTTAAGCTACTGAATTTTTAGCCTGTACCTTCATGAATGCTTATGACCCGTGCTTATTAGAACTTGCTATAAAAGAATGTTGTTGGTTTTTTTTTTAAAGAATGTTTTAAGTCAAGAGATCCTTAGCGTTTGTAATTTACAGTGTTTCTTAATTCAGAAGATGCTCAATGAAAAGAGGAAAAATGTCAGAGCCACAAGTGAAGCTGGACATTAACCCCATAACCCCCGGGGAGCATGACCAGGTGCCGTCACAGCACAGTGACAGGCACCCGTCCTCAGACCTCTCAGGCTGGTCACACAGGAGCACATGCATGCACGTTCCCAGCAGCATGAACACCCTGGAACAGGAAACCGGACACCACCACCC